GGGGCCCGGGGCCCACGGCCCACTGGCTGGACCGCGTACGCGAGGTGCGCCAGGCCGGGCTGCGGCCCTTGCCCACCTCGTACGCGTGAAAAGGCTTGACCTGGGGGAGATTTGTTTCCCTTTCAAAAATAGTAGCTGGAGGAGCTGGTGGAAGGGGCTCTCTGTACTAGTTTTTGTAACTGCAGTGAGCTTATAATTACTTCAAAATTTAGAGGAAATAAATAGAAGTTGCTTTTCATAGAATTGCGCTCCTCGTGGGATGCCCCATCCTCTCTGTGGAAGAGAGTTTCCGTCCGCACCGAGGCCGAGTGGGGACCCACTGAGAAAACTTGGTTCAGAGAAAGTCTCTGGGCCATTTACTTGTGTGCGGAAGGGTGGCCGTCTTTCAGGGAAATAGGAAAATGCAGAGATTAAGGACGACTCTTTCTGAGTGGAATGCAGTCGGGAAAGGATGCGTACCCTCTGTCCCGTGCTGCAGCTGTGAACCTCATGCGGCCGTGAGCCTTTGAAGTGTGGCTGGTCCAAATTGAGGTGTGCTTTGATTGTAAAATACACCTGGATTTCCAAGACTTCATGTCGAAAAAGGAATGTAAACTATCTCATTAATAATTTTATACTGATGATGTGTTAAAGCTGGAATATGTTTGATGTATTGGTTAAACATATGTCACTAGGGTTAATTCTACTCCATTAAAAAAAAAAGCTTTTTAAATGTGGTAACCAGAAAACTTCAAATTTCATGTGTAGCTTTAAAAAAAAATTCTGTTGAATGGTGCTGATCTAGAGCAAGTTTAAAATAAGTCATGTGCTTATTCTATCAAACTCACAAGCTACATTGTTAAAGTGACATTTACTCAGCGTCACAATGCTGTAGCACTAATTCTGACCTCTGATGGCTTTGAAATCATAAAAGTAATGCACATTTATGAATATGTATTTTGATTTATTAAGCGTTATGCAGGTTAGAAGGTAGTTATTTGCCTTTATTAATACTTTAAACAAGTTTCTTAGCTATGAAGAAGTCTCTAAGGTACTTCATTTGGAAAATTCCAACTGAGATAAAGATTAGTGTCTGTGCGAATGCCCACCATAAAACATTGCTATTTGTATCTTCACTGGTTATTCGAAATTTTTCTTCACGGTCCTACAAAGAAGAGAAATAGACAGGTTTAGTTTCTTAAGGTACATCATGCATGAATTTGAGAAGGTGCTCTATGCATTCAAGTTACTTAATGTTGCCCAGGTAGTATCTTATGCTGATGTGCAATATCTGATTTTCTAAGCCAAGATGTGTTGTGAGCCAAAGACAAGGAGTAAGAGTCAACCTTATAAAACATTTTTGTACTTTGGTGTAAAAGATCAAGTATTTGATCTGTTAACTTTATGCGTTTTATTTGTCACCATCAAACAAAGTGATCATTACCTAATAATAGTGTTAGAGTTTCATTATTTGAGTCCTTATTTTTAAGCAGCAATGTGCTCATTTTATTTTCTGGATAAGGAAACTGACGCTTAGAGGTGGTAGAAGGTTCATGAGTGGTGGAGCAGATCTGAGCCCACGTCTGACCAGAGCCCACTGAGCACAGTCCCCCAGGAAACAATGTCACAAGAACAAAATTGTGACTTAGAAAGTGGGCACACTGAGACTCTCCAGGTCCTTGGGGTGTGTTTGGAAGACCTTATTTATTCATTCTGTGAGCTCAGCCTACAGGTGAATGAGCCGCAGTCCCTTTCCTGGAGGAGTTCACGGTTCAGTGGACGGTGGAAGATCACTCCCCCTAGTCCCTGCGTGTCCGCACAGGTTTCGCTCAGAGAAAGGGGGACAGGCAGTTTATTCTTCCCTTGGTTCAGGGGCTCTGTCTTGAGAGTTACATTCCTGCAGGGAGAGTTTGAATAGCTGAGTAGGCAGACTGACCCTTTGATAGTTTTGTTCTTTGATTATTTGCTCAATTTGCTCAATTAGATGTTCAAGCTTGAAGCTCACTTCATTAACTTTGTCCTTTGCTTGAGCAATGGCTGCATCAAGGTCGTGTTCTCCAACTCGAATGTCTAAGTGGATCCGCTGCACAAATAGGAAAAGGAAAGAAACATGTTCTCAGCCCAGCTCGCCCCTCTCCCTGCTTTGCCCTCTGTGTCTTCCCATCCCTTCCTTTTCTCCTCTCCCCCTTTCCAGAGCAAACACTGCTTCATCCTCGAGCTCTCTTTTTCCTGACCGCACTCAAGTCCCCGTAATACTCGGTGGTCTCTCTCTGTATAATGATGCATAAAATGGTACCTTCGGGCCTGAAAGAGGACTTGTACCTTCCTAAACTGTTGTTCACTGTTAGGCGAGTGCCTGTGGCCCTGAGAGAAATTGACTGCTCTCAGGAAAATTTTCTTCACGTGTAACTAAATTTCTAATGTTAAAGTATACATTCTCATCATGTCTTCTCAGCATATTTAGAAAATGGCTAATCATCATCTACCGTGTAAGAGTTTTATTTATTGGAATTCCATTGTTAATTCACCCTCAGCCCTCAATTGTTTTCAAGCTTGAATAATCACAGTTCTCTTAACCTTCCCTCCCAGTTCTCATTTTTCAAGCCCTTTAATCAACTTCATAGTTCTCCTATGAACCCCTCCCAAGCTCGGCAGCTCCCTCTTTGGTTGCTGTGCTGAGGTCTGGGCACAGGGCCTTCACACACCTCCAGCCGTCCTGGGTGCAACGATTCTGTATGTCGGTGTCATGCCTGAAGAGTGCTGACGCTGTGCTCCTCGCCAGAGGCACGGGAGGCTTACACTTACCAGCTTGCTCCCTCCGAAGGACACAAGCCTTGTAGAATTAGATTCTAAGCAAATGATGTGTTCTCCAGGTGAATGTGAAGTAAAATAGAATGTTCCGTGTGGGCCATATAGCTTTGACAACAATACCTAGGATGGAGGATATCCACAATTTAAGTTTATTATTTACTTTCCATTTAAAAAATAAATCTCCCCTGTATGCTGTAGTAAAAATCATGCAGTTCTTTAAGAAGAAGTCAAATGGCCAATAACATGAAAAATATTTAACCTTGCTGGTAATCAAAAACATATAAACCACAGTAAGGTATTCTCTATTAGTTATCTGGTTGGCAAAGACTTAGAAGTACCCAGGGATAGTACTGAGAAATATGATCTGTAAACACTGTTTGGGAATGTAAACTGAGCAACTGTTTTAAAGCGTGATTTGGCTCTATGTATTAAAAATTAAAAGTGTGTACAGCTGTTGACTCAGCAGCGCTACCTGTAGAAGTTTATCCCGTGGAAAGGCACAAGTAGAGTTACGTGTAAAAGCAAGATTATTTGTAAATAAAAATTTTCATTTTTGAAGTAACTATTACTTTTCAGTAGAGGTTGATTAAATTTAGGAGAAGCCAAATGAAGAAATGCTAGGAAGCAGTAAAAGAGAATGTTACACCCATCCCTGTACTAAAGGTGCCATGATGTCCTGCAGTATAGCGGTCTGTATAGGATCCTGTTTTTCTGAAAAAATCATTTATAAAGGGACACATACTTTGAAGAAGATTCTGAAGAGTACATACCAAGCTGTTAGGCAGTTATATTTGTTAGGGAACTTTGATTTTCTGCTTAGTATATTTCTGTATTGTCTGTTATTTTGAAAAACAGGTATAGGACTTTCAGTCTAGCATATAAGGAACTTGGTAGTTGTCACTGTGTCTTAACAGTAGAAAGCTTCATAACAAGAGTTGAGGTCATGGGGCAAACTGCTGCCCCCGGATTTGAGGAGAGACGCCAATACAGAGAATGACAACTTACCAGCGCTGGGTTCTTTTTACCCAGCACATCATGTCCAACTGTCAGCAACAACAGAAAAATAACAGGGCATACTAAAAGGCAAAAAACACAATTTGAAAAGACAGAACAAGCCTCAGAAGTAGATTCAGATATGGCAGTGATGTTGGAATGATCAGGCCAGGAATTTAGAAAAAGCATGATTAATATTCTGTGGCCTCTAATGGAGAAAGTAGACAACATGCAAGATCAAATGCATAATGTGAGTAGAGATGAAAATTCTGTGGAAGAATAAAAAAGACATGCTAGAGATCAAAACCACTGTAGCAGAAACAAAGAGTGCTTTTGGGTTCATTAGTAGACTGGACAGGGCTGAGGAAAGAATCTCTGAGCTTGAGGTTATGTCAGCAGAAAATTTCAAAACTACAAAGTAAAGAGAAAAAAGACCAGGGGAAGAGAAGGAACAGAATATCCAAGGACTATGGGACAGCTGTTCAAGGTGTGACATACATGTAATGGGAATACCAGAAGGAGAAGAAAGAAAATGACAGAAAAAACATTTAAAACAGTAATGACTGAGAGCTTCAAATTAGTGTCAGACTCCAAGCCACAGCTCTGGGAGGCTTAGAGGACACCAAGCAGGATGAAGGCCAATGAAGCTACACCTAGGCATATGGTATTTAAAACTGCAGATGTCAAAGATAAAGAACAAATCTTGAAATGAAGCCAGAGGGGAAAAACACCTTATTTATAGGGGAGCAAAGATAAGAATTACATCCAACTCAGACACCATGTAAGCAAGAAGACAGTAGAGTGAAATATTTAAGGTATTGAGAGAAAGAACCCACCAACCTAGAATTCTGTATCCTGCAAAATTCTCCTTCAAAAATGAAAGAAGAATGAAGATTTTCTCAAACAAAAGTTGAGGGAATTTGTCACTGATAGACCTGCCTTGCAAGGGATGTTAAAAGTTCTTCAGAGAGAAGGTTAATGATATTGGTCAGAAACTCAGATCTACATTAGAGAAGGAATAAGTGAAGGTAAAATTAAAACTTTTATTTTTCTTATTATTAGCTGAGCTGATAAGTCTTTCAAAATAATAGCAACAATGTATTGATTATAGTTTGCATGTAAATGAAATAACTAACAGCAAAGATGCAAAGGATGGGAGATAGGGATTAGGATTACTTGGTTATCGGAAGGTACTTGCACTGCCTGTGAAGTGATAGGGTGTTACTAGAAGTGAACTTGGATTAGTCCAAAGTGTATATTGCAAACTCTAGGGCAACCACTGGAAAAAAAAGTTGAAAGAAATATAGTTGATAGCTAAGAAGAGATACAATAGCATCACATAAAATAATTAAAACCACCAAAGACAGAAAAAGAATGGAAAACAAAAATAGGAACAAAGAGCAAGGATGGTAACTAGAAAACAGAAACAAACATGGTAGATGTTAACCCAACTATATCAATAGTCACTTTGAATGTTAGTGGTCTAAATGCACCAATCAAAACAGAGATTATCAGAGTGAATCAAGAAACCAAACCCAATTATGTATATGTTGTCTACAAGAAACTCTTTAAAAAAAAAAGACACATATGGATTAAAAGTTAAGGAATGGAGAAAGATGTATATGCTAACCTTAATGAAAAGAATATTTATATTAACTTCAGACAGAGTAGACTTCAAAACAAGGAAAATTATCAGGGATAATTACATAACAGAGTGTTATGTAATAATAAAGAGGTCAGATCTCCAGGAAGGCAGTCTTTAACGTCTACACATCTAACAACAGGGTATCAAAATACGTGAAGCAAAAACTGGAAGAATTGCGAGGACAAGCAGAAGAATCCACTGTTACAGTTGGAGACTTTGATACCCTCTGCCAGAAGTGGGCAGATCCAACAGCAGATCAGCAAGGACACAGTTGAACTCGATAGCACCATCGACCAACTCAATATAATTATCTATAGACAGCTTCATCCCACAAAGCAGAGTATACATTCTTCTCAAGCTCACATGGACCACTTATGAAGGTAGACCACATTCTGGGCCATAAAAAAGGCCTCAATACATTTAAAATAATAAAAACCATGGAATGTATGTTCTTAGACCACAATGGAGTGGAAGTAGAAATCAGTAACAAAAATATAGCTGGAATGCCCCAAAATATTTAGAGATTAGATAGCACACTTCAAAATAACACATGAGTCAGGAAGAAATCTCAGAAATTAAACATTTTTTTAATTAGAAGAGGATTCTGGGAAGATGGCAGAATAGGAAGCACCAGGAACCTGTCTCCTTGACAACAATTACATCATTAGACTCTGTCTGATGTAATTATTGTAGAGCTCTGGAGTCCTATTGAAGGCTTGCAACTTCCAGGAGAAGACTTGGATGGTAAATTGTGGTTAATTTTGATCAGTTTCAGCTCTTAGCACAGTAGCAACTCCCCCCGCCCCCCCGCCATATGGCAAGCAGCTGTGCACATGTTCCTGGAACAGCCCACATGCAGCTTATAGAAGCCAGGGTAAGGAAAAAGGACCCTGTCCGCTAAATGTCAAGGATTTTCAATGTCATCATACAGAAGGGAACCTCAATAAGATTACCAGCAGATTTCTTATTAGAAACTTTGGAGACTAGAAGGCAGTGGGCAGATAACATTCAAAGTGCTAAAAACAAAACAGAAACAGAAGCAGCCAGTAAGCACATGAAAAGATGCTCAACTTCATTGATTGTTAGCAAATCAAAACCACAACAAGCAGTATCTCACACCCATTAGAATGGCTGCTATTTAAAAAAAAAAACCCAGAAGTGCTGACGAAAATGTGGAGAAATTGTAACCCTTGTGCACTGTTGGTATGAATGTAAAATGGTGCAGCTGCTGTGGAAAACAGTATGGTGGTCCTCAAAAATGTGAAAATAGACTTGCCGTATCATCCAGTAATTCCACTTCTGGCTATATACCCAATTCAAAGAAGGATCTCAAAGGATCTCAAAGAATATCAAAGAGATATTCATACACCTACGTTCACGGCAGCATTATTCACAGTAGCTAAAATATGGAAGCAGCCCAAGTGTCCATCAATGGCTAAGCAAAATGTGGTCTATACATATAGTGGAGTATTATTCAGCCTTAAAAAGGTGGGAAACTGACACCTGCCGCGACATGGATAAACCTTGAGGACATTAAACTGAGTGAAGTAAGACAGTCACAAAAAGACAAAAATGATACGGTTCAATGTGTAGGAGGCACTTAGAGTAGTTAAAATCATAGAGGAGTTGTTTAATGGATGTAGGATTAAGGAATTACGGGCATGATGATTACATAACATGAATATATTTAATACCACTGAACTGTGTACTTAGTAATGGGTAAGATGATGAGTTTTGTTATGTGTATTTTACTACAATGTAAAAATTTAGAAAAATATTTTGAACTGAATTAAAATGAAAGCACAACTTAATCAAAATTTGGGGGATACAGTGAGAGAAGTAGTTAGGGGGAATTTACAACATTGAATGAATATATTAAAAATGGAGATATAAAATTAGTCATCTAAGCTTCCACTTCAGGAAACTAGAAAAAGAAGAGCAAATTAAACCCAAAATAAGCAGAAGAGGAGAAATAAATTCAGTTCTAATAAAAACTAATGCAGAAATCAGTGAAATTGAAAAATAGGAAATGAGTAGAGAAAACCAATAAAATAAATAGCTGATTCTTTGAAAAGATCAATAAGATCAATAAACCTCTCGCTAAGCTGGCTAAGAAAAAAAGAAGACCCAAATTAATAATCTCAGCAATGAAAGAGAAGCATTACTACAGGTCTCACGGACATCAGTAGGGTCGTAGAGGAGTACTATGAACAACTCGTTGACCACACACTTGGTAATCTAGATGAAACAGACCAATTCCTTGAAAGACAATTTGTCAAAACTCACACAAAAAGAAATAGACAATCTGAATAGGTTTACATCTAGTAAAAGAAATTGAATCAATAATAACCTTCTAAATAGCACCAGGCCCAGATGGTTCACTGGTGATTCTACCAAAGACTTAAGAAATTATAGCAATTCTCTACAATCTCTTCCAGAAGATAGAAGTAGAGAGAATACTTTCTAAATCATTTTGTGAGGC